CTTTCACCCACTGAGCCTTGGCACTGGCACCCTTTCTTACTTTTAATTCTGAAAACTGCAGTTTTCCAGAATGAAGATGTGAGGAGGACAATCTCCCTTAGCAAACTATCTTGCTGCCGTAGTAGTAATTTAGAGGCTGTCCCCATGAGTGCTGAGCATTTTGTTGTTCTAAGAGGCTGAGGTCCTTGATATGGTTATCGACTCTTGGTACAACCCTAAAGTCATCTGGGGCTTCTTATTCTTCTTGGATCCCCATATTTATTCGCTGAATCCAGGCCTTTTCCTTAATGGCACTGAAGACCATCCGTCCTTTATAAATCCCTCTTGCTTCTTCAGCATCTGACAATACTATGTCTCCTTGTCGTTTCCTTCCTCTCCCCAACCTAATTACATCCAGGATGCTTTGGTGTTAGAATACATTTCTTGGGCTCAAATTCAGGCCCCGCATCAATGGTTCTACTATGTCTCTTTAGCTTGCTTTGCTATGGTTCTAAAATGAATCTGCTTTCTTACTTCAGCTGATCTAACTTTCCCCAATTTTTTGGTACACTCTTTTTCTTTTTTGTGTCTTTGTTGAAGCAATTTCCTTTACTTTCTCCCCCCTGCAATCCAACCCACGTTATAAATTTCCTTTTTTGTCTTTTTTTGTTCTTAACAAAGTCTTCCCTTCACATGTGTAGACTGTTCTCCAGCTTAAATGTTGGAATTTGTAATTGAGTCCTTTACTATTAATGTTGACATCATTTTACTTTTTTTTTTTTTTTTAAGATTCATTTATTTGTTTGAAAGGCAAGGTTACAGAGAGGCAGAGGCAGAGACCGAGAGAAAGGTCTTCCATCTGCTGGAATGGCTGCAATGCCTGGAGTTCGGCCTTTCTAAAGCTAGGAGCCAGGAGCTTCTTCCAGGTCTCCCACACGGGTGCAGGGGCCCAAACACTTGGGCCATCTTCCAGTACTTTCCAGGCCACAGCAGAGGGCTGGATCAGAAGTGGAGCAGCTGGGCCCATGTGGGATGCCAACACTGCAGTCAGCAGCTTTACCTGCTACACCACAGAGCCGCTGGCCCCTCATTTTACTTCTCCCATTTCAATTCACCCATAACATTGCAATCTTAACAACAGGAGCTTTTTAACCCATACAAAAAAGTGGAGTCTTTGGCACTTTTGAAGATGAATGCACTTGGTAGCATTGTGGCACCAGAGACCAAACCAGAATTGCCTGGATCTTGTGTATGAAGCCTAACTGCGTGAGATTAAAGTTGTGCAACAGGAATCCTTGAACAAGTAGAATGAAATGTCCTCTGAAAGCAATACCTTGCTAGCTAATGCCAAGCTCAATTTTATAGATCAGTCAAACCATGTAGGCAAAGCTGCTAAGTCAAAGAATTCTGACGCTGAAGAGTTTACGTAAAGATTAACTCTAGCCACATGCTGGCAAGTACATGAAACTCTAGGTCTGAGTTTGAATCCCGGATTTGTTTCCAATTAAATTGAGTAATATTGAGTAGGCAACTTACCCTCTCTGGGCTTTAGATCTTTTTCAGTAAAATGGAAAGATTCCAACTGATGCTGAAGACTGGATACTTCAGTTACAAGAACGTATGATTCTATTTCTAAAGCAGAGAAACAGCCATTGCCTTTGGGGTTTCTCAGGTACTTGGTTCTACAGAATAGGATTCACTACTTTCCTGTGTAGTTGGAATTCTCACTCTCAGCCTTTTTGGCGTTCTCTCTTTTTTGTTTCCCAATTTGTGTGAAAGTGGGTGGACAGATGGTTGATTAGGCTTTCACATGCTTGTAACACTGTTGTTTGATTCAACAATGGTTTTCAACTTTGAGGGTCCACATAGAGTGTGGATTTTATTTAGAATGGAAGATAGCTTTATGTGTTCAATTTAAGGGTAATAATGTTTATTCACATAATAACTTAGAGCAACTTGTGGATGTTAACTCCAAAGGCCTAATCAGTTTCCTTTATTTTGGTGTGCTTAACTCATTTCCACAACACAGACTAACTCTTCCATCTTGCAGTTTTAAAGATGAAGTTGCCGAATAAACCAAACATCCAGTGACAACCGCGTGTTTTGCCTGTGACTGAATCATTTAACCCACAACTTCCTTCCAAAGACAAAATCCTTTAATTCAGAGTAACAGAAATTTAGAGGAAGGGACAAATACCTCATTTACCAAGCACACAAGAGACCTAAAGGCTCCTCATACTTTTTCTACTGACTGTGTATTTTATGAATAATAGAGCTGACTAAACGTCAGATAAGGTCGCACTGAAAAAAAAAATTCAAAATTCGTGAATTATAAACCCCCACAGAAAATTCCATTCCGTAAAATCTAAGCGGTCAGTTAATACATTATCACGTAAAGTGTATGAAAACCTGTGCAAGCCAAAAGATCATCAACACTGCAATCGCTTCGCGATTTTAACTGACCCAAGGTGACTCTACATGTTAAGTGCATTGCTGAATACGCAAACTATATTTGAAGTACACGGGACAGTCAGACCCCACAGGACGTGCCACATACAGGTAGAGGAGAGTGAGCCTGCCAACGAGGAGCCCACAGGGGTCCAGGGGAAGGGAAATGGGGACGCGCTGGCTAAGCAGGCGCCGAGGAGGTATGAGCTGCAGAGCAGTACAGGTGACGAGGAAGGAGTCGGGAACGCCCCGGAGCTCCGAGGTTGCAGCAGGCCGCGGAGAAGATCGACAGGCCAGCAGGGGCTGGCTGGAAAGCAGCGTGAGGAAAGCGGGGCCGACCTAGTGGGCAGCGTGGACCATCCAGTACGAAAGGCAAGGCGCAACGCGGGCTCAGGACAGGACCAGAGGTGTAATGCGCAGAGTACGGAAAAGCTACAGCGGCGCACGTGGACGCCGGGAGAGGAGGGGAAAGAGCGCGCGGGCAGGCGGGGAGCCAAAGCGAGGCCTGCGGGTAGCGGGCAGGTACGACCGGACAGGGCCCGCGGAACCCAACAGCGCGCACCGCCCAGTCAGGCGCGACCGCAGCGTCAGGGACCCACAGCGCCCGCCGAGCGAGGGCCTCGCAGGAGGCGGGGCCTCAGCACGCAGGCGGGCCGAGGGGCGGGGCCTGTGCCTGACGCGCCCGGAGGCCGAGGCGGCCGCGGGCCGGGAGGGGCGGCGGCATCGGTGGCGGCCGCGGGGGAGGGGCCCGGCGTCAGCGCGTCGCCGGCTGGGCCGCGCCGGTGGCCAGGAGGGAGAGACAAGGAGGAGGAGGAGGAGGAGGAGGTGAGTAGGCTCCGGGCTGGGGAGCCGCGCAGGCCGGCAGGGAGGCGGGGAGCGCAGCCCCTCCCCTCCCCGCCGCCCGCCTCGCGGGGCCGCGCGGCGCGGAGTTCCCAGTGGGGCAGCAGCGGCGGCGGCGGCGGCGGCGGCGCGAGAAGTGGGGGTTGGGGGCTGGGAGCTGGGGGTGGGGGGCGGAGCTGAGGGCCGCGCGCTTCCCGGGCGCACGCGCCGCGCTCCCGGCGCCGCCGTCCGCCCGGTTCTCTGAGCGCGGTAGCCAGGCCTGTGCGTTCCGTGTTCTCTGTGCGAACCGGCCACGTTCTAATTTGTTCTCCTCGGCGTCCACCCGTGGTGCTGCCGGCTTCCCGCGGCCCGGCGCACTGCTTCCTCCTCACTGGGCCTGCGAGGGTGGCGGGGGGCGCGTCGCCGTTTGGCGGCGCGGAGCGGGGGAGGGCTCGCTGTGGGGCCCGAGTAGGCGGAGGGGTCTCCTCGTCGGCCTCTGGGCCCCTTGCGAAGCGAGCCGGGCTCCCTGCTGAAGCAGACCTTGTCGCCTGGCCCCGCTGTCACCCTCACTCGGGGGTTGCTGCCCAGCGCCCACCCCCCTCTGTCCGCACAGCATGGAGGTCTCCCTGTGTCCCCCTCCCTTGATCCCTGCCTGAGGTTTCAGCACTTGGGTGTTTCCCTTGGCAGCTAGCTGTACGGGGAGGAAAGGTTTTCTGACTATGAGTCTTGTGACTCCAGCAGTGTCCCCAGCTAAGTTGCAGTGAGACATGCATTTCAGCTTTAGCACAACTTTGAGGCTTCGGAGGGAACCGCGTTGCATTAGAATATCTTTGAGATCATTTTTAAGTTGGGGCCTCGGGGCCGCGTGAAGCGGGGCTTCACACTTTTTCTCCACCTGTAGCACAGTTTGAAGTGGAAAACGTGCGTTGACGGCGATTTTCCGCACCAGGTGGATTTCAGTATGCAGCCCGCGTGTGTCCTGGCTCGCCTGGGTTTACTTGCTGCTATTCCTGAAGTTGATTTGAAAGCTTAACAGAGTGGTCAGGTAAAGAAACTGCAGAGATCAGTGGAGCCATTTTATTGGCTTCTGTTAACCCGTTTAACCCTATGCTGTAAGCATGACAGGTTCTGTAGGAACCCACATACCAAGTGCAGTATTGAATTTTAATTAGTACATTCTAGGTTTGTCTTGGAATAAACTCTCTCCCACTTTCCTTTTGTTCCATATTTTCCTTAGGGTCCCTGCTGCATTTAATGAAAAAGTTTATTCAGGGTTGGAGTACGTTTTGAAACATGAAACTAACTTTGACGAACTTGAAAGCAATGAGTATGTAAAATCTGAACTATCATGAGGTAGGAAGCAGTGCATTTTGTAGCAGTACCAGTTTGAGAAACTAAGATTGTTTCTTTACTCCTGTTTCGAACTCCTGTGGACATTTTAATCTGGTGAACTAGGGAAGCACAGAATTTTTTGTATGTAAGGCACCTTAGGAGTGTAATCCTATCCCATTGTTTTACAGAAAATTTAAGAACCAAAGGCAGTTTTTGGGAGAGATTTAGCAGCAGTTGAATAGAAACAGTTGCTTTAATTAACTAACAGTTTAGCTAGTTAATTCAGATACGCTCAATGGATATTCTTGTACTGTAGCTTGATTATGATATCTTGAAACTAATTACTGGTTTTTTTTTTTGCTTATATAAGTATATAGTTTGTGATTGAGACCCATTCCATTCATTAATAATGATACAAATTATATTTAGGAGTTATTTACATTCTGTCAGTTGAAACAAACGTTACTTCCTTAGTTTTGTTTGAATTTAGTAGTTATTTTCACTTATTTATTCATATTCTTGATTAAGATAGTCTGTATCCCTCCCTGGTGATTGGTATTTAAAAGCTCTTAGACTTAAGGTATATATAACCTGAATATTAGAAAGGGAGATCCTGTGCACTCGTAATGATTGAATTCCCACATCACCAACATCACTTTTTTTGGTGGGCCTCAAATGCAGGAGTCATGTAGTCTGAGTCTGCTTGGGGTGGAGTGAATTTTTTATATCTCCCATGGCATGATGTTTAAGATAGTGTAAATGCTTGTGGCATTGTTGGACTTAATGAAATTTATCAAGGTAGTGGAGTGCTTGGAAGCCCTAATCAAAGTACCTCATTTCCTTTTGTGTGTTGAATCAGATAACTCTGTTAGAATGAGTTACAACATTGAGAGAGATAATGTGGAACCAAATATTGAAGACAAATTGGGAGGAGAAACTTAACATTGATAATTTTGTCCTTAAAATATTAGTCACTGTGAAACTGGAAGTGGACATTATTTAAATTTAGTTATGGAACACCTCAGTTGAGTTAGAAAATGGCAGTTTCCACTGGGGCAAAATTTGCCAAACATGAATTAACTGGTGCTCTAATTGTTACTGCTGGCCAAGTTCTAAAGCCTTGGTTTCACTTTACAGGGATATATTTTTCAGCATATAGACCTTTAAAAGGAACACAACTTTTGAAGTTCAGACTGCTTTGGCAAGCTATTCTGAATTGATATTTTAAGCACTTTTAGGTTCTGTTTGTTATGTTGAGCTTCATGTTGGCAAGAGAGAAAAACCCTGCATCTTTTTCTCTTAGGAATATTCTTTTTTTCTAATAAAAAATTAGTTTTAATGTGCAACAATTTTTTAACATTTTGCCACATTCACTTCATAGGTAGATAGTATATGCATACACATATATTCTATTTCTCGAAAACAAGGATAGTCCTATCCCAAAATGTGGGATTCATGACAGTGATCATAATGTGGGGAGAGAAGGGTATATTGTCATGTACGTGGAATAATTCAGTGAAACAATATTTATAACTGTGTATCAAATAATATATCTACACAACTTTTATACTCTGTTACATTAACTTACCTAAGAGAAAATGTGATGTTTGGCTGATTTCACTTTGTGTAATCTCCAATTCCATACATTTTGTTACAGATATCAAGATTTCATTTTTTCTTTTCTTTTTTTTTTTTAAGATTTATTTATTTATTTGAAAGGCATAGTTACTGAGAGGCAGAGCGAGAGGGAGAGATATCTTCCATCTGCTGTATCACTCCCCAAATGGCTGCAACAGCTGGAGCTGGGCCAATCTGAAACTAAGAGCCAGGAGCTTCTTCTGGGTCTCCCACATGGATGCAAGGGTCCAAGGACTTGGACCATCCTCTGCTGCTTCTCCAGGTGCATTAGCAGGGGGCTGGATTGGAAGTGGAGCAGCCGGGACTTGAACTGACACCTATATGGGATGCTGTTACTGCAGGCAGTGGCTTTTTCACCCACTACTCCATAGCCCTGGCCCTCATTTTTTTATTTATGGCTGAGTAATATTCCATTACATATATATACTGTATTTTCTATTTTCTTTATCCAGTTATCAGTTGATGAGCATCTAGGTCAATTCCATATCTTTGCTATTGTGAACTAGGCTGTTATAAACATGATCATGTAGGTATCTCATATGCTGAATTCACTTCTTTTGAATATAGTACCAGGGGTAGGAATTAGGCATATTTCTTTTAAAGATTTATTCAAAATACAGTAGAGATGAATTTATTTATTTATTTTTTTAATTTGAGAGACAGGGAAACAGAACTCCCATCTGGTGGATCACTCCCCAGATGCCTGCAACAAGTGGGGCTGGTCCAGGAGGAAGCCAGGAACTCATTCCAGGCCTCTCCTGTGGGTGGGAGGATCCCAGTTACTTGAGCTGTTATTCCTGCCTCCCAGTCTTCATAGCAGGAAGCTGGAATCAGGAGCTGGAGAGGAGTTTTAAACCCTGGTGCTCCAGTGTGGGGTGCAGGTATCTTAACTAGTGTCTTAACTGCTAGTCTGAATGCTTGCCCCTGGTTTCTTCAGTAGACCAGAATAGTGTGTTTTATTTTTAAAAGACAGAAAATTTTCAGGTGTTCCTTTTGTGAAGTAACACAGTTCTATCCTCTGAATGCCTTTGGTAAAATTTGGGCCTAGCGGATGGAAAACCCAATCCAGAGTGTTTTGGCAGAGGTGTATAGCTAATAGCCTTCACAGGGGCAATGTCATAGAATGCCAGCATTTATTTTCTGCTGAAGCTATTTACTGGAAGCATTTGTCCCAGTGCAGTAGGATGGTGTTTAGTTTGTTCGAAGCAAATCATCTCAGGTTCTATCATTGCTGTTTCTTATGTCAGTCTGTCTACCTGCCTATTCAGTGCCTTATCAGTCCCTTTTACCCAGACTGAAAATACATTAAGACACCTGCATTTTCTACAGGAGAAGGGCTCTAGAATTATTCTGGTGCCCTCAGCATCTGTTGCTTAAAGAGATAGGATATCTCACCATACCCTTGGCAAAGTTCAAGCACCACAAGGGACCTCAAATACAGGCATTCAGTTTGTGATATTTTAATTTTTAAAAACAATTTTGTCATCAGCACTTTTAAAATATATGGCATCAGCACTTAACCAGGTGTGTGAGGCTTCTAGAATACTTAATAGAATTAGGACACAGACAGTAAGAATTAGTTAGAAAAGTTATCTAGTTCTTTCCCTCACATTCTGTAGGGTCACACTGAAGACATTAAAACAGATGATAATTTTTTAATATTTATTTTTATAAATAACCATAAAAGCAGTTCCACACTCTTTTTAGTAAATGGCAAGTAGTCCACAGATTTGAAATGTCTTTTGGTGTGCTTTTCCTGTTTGTATTTAAGGTCCTTTGTGGAACTGTAACCCTTACCTTAAGCCTAACTAAGCACCCTCACATCTTGGCCATCTCCCTCCTCTTGCCTTCCCCTTTCATTTCAAGGGGCTGACCTGGTTCCTGTCCATAGGTAGAAGGTTGGGATCTTGTTGATATGATACTGTGATATGATACTGTGTCCTGAATTCATGCTTACCAGATTGACCTAGTAGATACAGAGAGCTGAGATTTTTGTTAAAATCTGAACAGTTTTTGAGTTAGCCTTTCATTCATCTTATGGACTCCCTGGATTCATCCAGTCATGAGTCAGAGCGCTTTCCTGACTAGCCTGCCCTTTTGAGATTTCATTTGATCTGGTGTCTGTTATACATTCCCTAGAATGGTCATTTTCTGCCTTTTTTTTGGACTATGTGTAATCTGTGGGTTGGGACTGAATCTGTCCTGTTCCTGACAGTGTCTTCAGCACTCAATATAGTGCCTGGCACATAGCAAGGGATAAAAAAAGTATTGCTTAGATATGAATTCATCCCAAGAGTAAGTTCTGTGTGGGAAACTGATGTTCCTATTGAAATTTAGAATTCATTCAAGAAATATAGATACTTCCTTGCTGTCATTAGTACTAGGACATTTGTATGTTTTCAGTGATAAGCATTATATAAAAATGACTTCATCTTTCATCTGAATGGACATTTACTTAAGAAAAGGTACATAATTATAAGGCATTTCACATTTAGGTTTTTCTTGAGTTTGATTAACATGAATATATTATATTTCTTATAAATAGAAGTTTTATGGCACTATAAAGAAGTGAGTTTAATGACCCTATTTTTGTTCATTAGTGATTATATACTAAAGAGTAAATTCTCATTAAAGGTCCTTAAATGTCTGCTCATAAAAAAGAGAGACCTCTTTGATTTTGTTCTCTATACAATCCCAGTTATTGTATTGAGGTAAGCTATCAAGCTCTTTAGTAGTCTAAACTTTTAATTTGGTTTCAGAACAGTAATCATATATTGAACACCCAAATTACTGTGTCTTTAACAAGCAATACAAACACTCTGTATTATAAAAGTAATGACCATAACTTTTCTTGTAGAATTTTTCGTGTTAATTTTTGAAAAAGAACTTTCGAACTAAATTTCCCGTGAAGGCCAAATCAAATACTTTTAATGATAGTGGAGTTTATGTGTATGTGTAGATAGGAGGGGCAGTAATTTTTGTAGTGGTATTTTTAAGTGGACAGTTTACTAATTAGGTTGAGGTAAACACTTTACAACTCTAAAAGGAAAACTTCAATTATCTGAATGAAATGAGATACATGAAATTAATTTAGATAAGTGGGGGAATCCTTAGTGTAAATGATGCATGTCAAAGAACATGACCTCAATCTTGATTTTTTTTCCTCTTATATATCTGCTGGATTGTGATTATGTTGTTTTTCTGGTGAGAACTCATTGTTGGGAGGAGGTAAAGTTGCTCTGTAGTTTTTTTCCTTTACCACAGAAGGAATCCGGAATGTGGTATTCTGTGACGAGTATAATTGCTCATATCTCTCCTGTACTGCTTGCTGTTTTAGGTGGTATACCACAGCCTTCCATTTTGTCACCTTCCTGTCAGGTGTGTGTAGGGGGACTCCTTGAGAAGACGATATGTTTGAAATTGCAGCCACACTCCTCTATCCAATCCGAAGAAGTTTATAGTTGGTAGAAGTTGAATTTCAACAAGTTGTAAGGGTGAATTAGGCTGCATAAACCTTGATTCCTTCCCTGTTCCTCTTAGGATTTAAATTAAGCAGTCATCTTACAATGTAAGCCCTTAAGATAGAAACAAACATTAAAGCATTTACCTCTGACCTTTATTGACCTACATGAAATGGAAATTTTGCTGATTAGTTAAGAGTTTGGGAAAATGATTTCTGCCATAGTTGACTAAATTTTGCCGCATTCCTGGGCTTCTGCCATCTCAAAGCTTCATGAATCTGCAGATCCTGTGCGGCTATGATGACATTGCCTTCTAGGGGTTTGTCTTGTTTTTAAATGGAGGCAAGTTTGTCTTAGCCACAGAGATGTGTGCTGACACCTTTGTAAGTGAATTTACTTCTTTAATATTACCTGTAGGTTCCTTCCTTAAAGCACCTGAAAACAAGGCTCTTTTAAGCATGCACTAACTTCCCTTTCACCACTTGGTCTTTAAGGTACAAGAAACATGACTCATTTTGATTGTTTTGTATATAGTGGGTATGATATCTGCAAGCTCTGTATCCACACTTTGTGAGCATTTCCTAGGTCTTTGAGGCCTTCCTAAATATGTGCTGGCAGTGTGACTGAAGATTTTGGGCTACAGGGTCAATCCCCAATGATTTTATATAATACATTTTATATGGGAGAGATAGTTGGTTAACTTTGAGTTTCGGTTTCTGCATCTATGAAATGGGGATAATATCCCCTGATACTGTTGAGTTTTTTTTTAATTTTAGATGCAAAAATTTATGATATTTAGACAGTGTGCATTAATAAGTTATTTAGGTGATGGACTGTTCACTTTAATAAATCTATTTGCTTTTAACTGACACGTAAAAATTGTACATATTTATGACTGCCAGCTAATGTTTGAATACATCTATACATTGTATTATGTCCAATAAGGGAAAACATATGTATCAGACATTTAACATTTTTTTATGAAAACATTCAAAATCTTTTTTTCTAATTTTATTTTTTTAGAGAAATATTTGGTGCATTATCATTGTTTAATTTAAAAATATTTTATTTATTAGAGGAGAGAGAAGAGGGAGAAGGGAGGGTAGGGTGTTCCCATATGCTCATCTTCTGGTTCACTTCCCAAATGCCCACAATGGGCAGGGTTGGGCCAAAAGGAGCCATGAACTCAATCTAGGTATTCCATGTTGGATGGCAGGGACTCAGTTACTAGCGCTATCACCTATTGCCTCCTACAGTGTGTGTTAGCTGGAAGCTGGAATTGTGAGTGGAGCTGAGACTTGAACCCGGGCATTCCATTATGAAGTGTGAGTGTAGCCAAATATCCACTCCCATTATCATTATTTAGTCACCCTACTGCAGTATAACATCAGAACTTCTTACTCCATTCTAACTATTATTTAGTGCCCATTAGTTAACCTTTCCTTATCCAGTACTCCTCCTTATTCTCCTCAGCTTCTGCTAATCACCATTGTACTCTCACTGCTATGTGATAAACTTAAATTCCACATATAAGGGAGATCATACAGTATGATTCTTTTGGTACTTGGCTTATTTCACTTAACATAATGACCTCCAGTTACCTCTATGTTGTTGACAAGATTTCATCTTTTGCGCTGGCACCATGGTGCAGTAGGTTAATCTTTGGCCTGTAGCACCGGCACCCCTATGGGCGCCAGTTCTAGTCCCAGCTACTCCTTTTCCAATCCAGCTCTCTACTGTGGCCTGGGAAAGCAGTAGAAGATGGCCCAAGTCCTTGGGGCCCTGCACCCGCATGGGAGAC